ATCCACCTTCCAAATGTAATTCATGCCGTTTCTGGTAATAAACATCCAAAGACTCCTCGTGGTTTTGAGGCCAATAATTCCTTAAATAGTTAATTATTTTAATCAATCCTTATCTCTTCTTGTAGCTTGCAATACATCGTGATAAACGATTGGCAATCCATCATTTCTGCATGCATAATTTAAAAATATTTCATCATTCTCTTCACCGCTGGAATTCATTTCAGTAGTAGGTAGTGATGCTACGGAAAACCAATCAGCAAAGTTCTTCTTTCGTCCTACATGGCGAATTTCATAATCATATCTTGCAAGGAATAGAGCCCATCGCTGCAGCCTGATGGCTGCCATGGTCGGAATCGGTTTCTTCCTGGCGAAGATGTGAACTAAGGGCTGGTTGTCACAAATCAACGAAATATTTCCTCCAAACAAATAGAAATGGATTTTTTTTAATCCAGATATAATTGATAAAGCCTTTTTATCTAATTGTGAATAATTTTGTTCATGACAGGTCCACGTTCTGCTTGAAAACGCCAAAGGTCTTTCGCCCTCTGGAAATAATTGGGATAAAATGGCCGAAATCCCACACTCAGAGGCATCCACCGTAAGCCTGAGGGGAAACTTTGGGTTATAATGAGCTAAAACTACCGGAGACGTGATTCTTTGCTTCAGTTTCTTAAAAGATTCCTCACAAGCACTGCTCCAATTCCACTCACAATTTTTGTGAAGCTGCTGGTACAAAGGATGTGATAAATCAGTAGCTCGAGGAATGAACTGAATGACATAATTAATAAATCCCAAAAACGATTGTAGTTCGCTTACTGAAGTGGAGCGTGGGGCGCCAACAATTGCTTTTATTTTATTTTCAGCTAAATGTAGCCCTTCCTGATCGATTCTGAAATCCAAATAAACCACTGATGACTTGAAAATTCACACTTTTTCTCTGCTAATGGTAAACCTAAATTTCGCAATCTTTTAAGAACTTCTTCTACCCGTACAAGCAAGATCTCGGAATCAGCTGCACCAACCCATATATCATCTAAAAACCAACTCGTCCTCGCTAATCCCTGCAATATACTAACCATACATTTTTGAAATTTGGCCGGTGCACTGGCTATTCCAAACTATAATCTTTTGCAACGAAAGAAACCCGTATGTGTTGTGATTGTCAGCAGCTCCTGACTTTTGTCATCTAACGCAAAACGTTGATCCACATTGTCGTAAATCCAGTTTACAAAATATGGCACATCCATGAAAATTTTCGAATACAGTATCAATTGGAGGTAATGGATATGTTTCAGTATACTGATTAGCAGTTGTTTTGTAGTCTCCACAAATCCGTACTGATTTATTTTTTCCCTTTTTAATATAGGTACTATGGGGGACCCCCAAGGACTGTAGTCAACGGGTTCAATTATATCATTTTTTCTAATCTTTCAAGCTCCACTTCGATTGGTTTTGTTTCATAATTGTTTCATTGCATGAGGCAATGGTCTCGCTGGAATGAATTTTGGCTGTACGCCCGGCTTTAAATTAATACTTGTATAAAGTGTAAAGACAAAACAACTGAAAGAAAATATTGAAGAGAAATTCGAACAATTTCGTAACTCATAATTGATAATGGGATAATGTTTTCAGCTCACCACCATGTATTTACTTTTATCTTCATTTAGTTGCACGTTGGTTTGCTCTTCTTCTCTTACCACTATGTCTTCTTGATAGTAATATAGGTAACAGATATTTAAAATTGATTCAGTTAATAACCTTTTACAATATTTTTTTCACTTTTACAACATATTACATGCAAAATATATTTTATTTATAATTGGAAAAAAATTAGAAATAATAATAACGGTTGGTCTTACCAAAAAAGTTTTATTGTATATTGATTCACAATGCCCGACAAGCTATAATAAATTCAGTTTTTCAAATATCTTGCTTAAATTGATAGCTTCTCAGGGTGTTTGCAGTTTTTAGGACTTTTCCGACCACTGTGGGCCACGGCGGTCTTGCGAGTTAAGGCGTCTGCAAAACTCGTATATCAAGTGTTCAAATCCCATTCCTGGGAACTAAGAACACACGCACAAAAAATTAATAAGTGCAGACCCTACTCGACTACTTAGACCACTACGGCGCAGATTCGATCCCCATATGGAGACGGTACCGTCCCCACCCCGAGGTTGATAGGGAGGTGAGCAACCCCTGTTTCTTACACCATAGCTTCTGGTCAACCAGGTTGGGGTCTGGGTAAAGGGCTGATAATCCACTATTCCATAAAAAAATGGGCGGAAGATTGAAGCAAAATATTGCCAACCATCCATCAGGAACATTTTCCTGAAGAGAGAGCGAAATGTGATCGCTTTCGGTTAGTAAACCACGTGCTGGATATGTCGAAGATGAGAGAACGAAACGATCACTACTTTCGCTTATAACAGGCCCAAGCTGCTGAATAAGACTTAAGACTTAAAAAGTCGAAGTCAACAGGCGTAGGGAAAAAAAATTATTGCAAAAACACTAGAAACATTTATTGTATAGCAATACAACACTACAATATTAAGTACGTAACTCTAACGCAGCGTAGAAAAATAAAACATATTAATTACAAAATTCAAAAGTTTTCCTTTAGTTCTAATATAAAACAGGTAACAATCTACCCTCTATCTTTTTCAATCACTTGTTAATAAGCAGAAAATATATTTAGTTAATAGCATAATTTTGAAGAAAAAGAAACATTTGTATGAACAAACGCAGTGTTTAAAGAGATCCTCCTCCTTTCCCAAAAAATTATATTAAGGAAAAATCAAGACATTTACGGAAATTCCTTCATGGAGGAACACGAAACTCGAGTGGAAACGTAAATATAATAATATCGTTTGGTCAAGATTAATCAAAAATAATACAGTAGTATTACTAAATTTAGAGTTTGGAATTCACAGAAGGTAAGAATTACAAAACATTTTGTTTGAGATATTTGGAAAAGAGCCAGTGGATTTCTATGCTGAAGAAATGTAAAAAAAATGAAAAGGTCTTAGGCAAGAAAAACTGGAGGAAATGTATCATAGTGTTGCGGTTCCTGTAATCCCTCCTATGACACGGGAGAACATTGTTTTATATCTATAATATTATATTTAAATATTATAATAATATTAGTGTAACAATAAAATTTCGTTTATTTGCAAAAATCAATAATTAAATATTTTAAACTTTAAGTATAATTATGAGGATTTCAATTGAAAATATTTTATATAATAAATAAAATTTCAGAAAAGGGAGTCGAACAAGTATAAAATTACAGATTTGATATGACGAGTCTAGAGTCCCCACCTCGAAAGGAACCAGGATCAATACCAGATGGTGGCGCGCTCTGATGGTAGCTCTCAGTGCTGCAATCTCACAATTGCTGGTATAACTTGGCCAAGTTGAAATTGAAGTGATTGCCTCAAAAATAATTATCGGCATAAGTCCTAAGAGAGGTATCTCATAAGAAAATGTCTCTCTACAAGAGAGAGTAACATCACCATTTTTAAAATTAAGTCGCATCAGACTTCTGTTATTATATAATTTGTTTTATATTCTCTCCTCCTGGTGGCGTTTTATTTCATGGTCTAACATATGCACCATTCCGACAAGTCGCTTCATGGGTAACAATGTGAGTTTTGGCACTGGTCTTTATGCAACTAGCAAGCTAGAACTTTATATATGTATCTATCTTTATCTCTTTATCTATCTATATGTGTTAGTGTGTTAGATTAAGCGCCCAATTAAGTAGGGACGCTCTATACTTACAATATAGGCACTAGTCTATTTTTGGAATGGGGTGTAACCCTGAGGCACCCCGAAAAAGGACTGCGGTCCATCTGACCTCTCACTGTATAGAAACTTAAGGACTAAAATATACCATTGCCTATAGTATGCGATACAGGCGGACCCACGAGGGGGGAAGGCTTTCGGGCTGAAGCCCTCCCCAAAATGGTAAAATGTAACCATGTTTTATGGTAAAAAATATATCTTAAAGAATTATTGTTCGTGTCATTACCTTTAATAGGCCTTCAAAATCGCATAAACACCATTTCATATATGTAGCTAGTATCTTTCCTTTTTTTTTAGAGTAGTTATCGTAATATATATTTAAAAAACACTTTTCGGGCTGGAGCCCCAAAATGAAATCCTGGATCCGCTAGTGGTATGGGACAAAATTAAATCAAAAGCTGACCTAACAATTTGGAATCCTAGCTACGGTCAATGATACGAAAACATTCTATTAGCTGTTAGAATATTGGACAGTTTTTTTACGTCATCGTTTCTTTCATCCTTCCATCTAAAAGGAATGAGTATCTGAATATAGTTATAATTTTCTAAGAGAAATGTTAAAGGCTTAATTTACTTATTTGTTTTTAATTAATTAAATTAAAGTCCTGTTGTTGTTTACTTTATTGGTGTGTTAATTAGGCTGCTTGCGCTCAAGCCTTCAAAAATTAATAACGGAAGCAGAGGATATATTATCGGAAGAAATGTACCTACAACTATTTTTCTGTATTAAATACTAAGTATCAGTTCTTCAAATACAATAGTAGTATATAGAAATACGAAGTTATTACTACCTCTTGTAATTTGTTTAAAGATTTTGGAATTGAATAGAGTCCATTCTGTAAACAATTATGTTGACTGTTTATTTCTATAAAGAAGTATTGCATTTGGAGTGGCAAACATAACTAAGGTTGACTTATCCTAACAATGATATATTGTCATTCTCTCATGTAGTATGCTCTAAAAAATGAGTCATGGATCCTTAAAGCCATGTTATTAGTAACTCTTACTGAAATCAAAATATTGGAATGGATAAAAACGGAATCTACTTATTCTACAAAATTCAGTTAATGCGAATAAATCTAAGGTTGACTAATAAATTAAGTAAATATATTCAGCTATAATTTAACAAACTAGCTAATGGTAATCTTTTTAGAAGCTAATGACGACGGAATATTTTATAAATTTGTGGTACATACTTATAGCTGATCGTGGCACATCTAAACTTGGTCCGCTCCCTCGCTCTGGTGCACTCTTCCTTGCAATCTGCCTCTCCAGGAACCCAGAGTGCATTCTTTATAGCTGAAGGAAGAAGTCTGGCTGGACTACTGTAGCGTATGTAGCACACTGAAGAATTCAAAATTGTGTACTGTTCGTAATGTATTTAACAGAAGTTTGCAAATTATTACCCAACAATACTAAATATGAGACAAAAGACAAATAGCGATGATCTTATCACAAATGTATTATGATGAGAATTTTTACATTATTGTGATGAAAAATATCTTTCTTAATTTATTAAAAATTAATGAAAAGTTCTATTCCTTTAAATATTATTATTTCATAAAATCTGGATCCAGTGATAAGAACTCTGACTTATGGGATGGAAAACATGATATTTGTTGATATATAAAAAAAAGTTAAAAGTAGCTGTTATTCCATTTTTATCTGAGAAGTCAACTGAAATATACAATTAATTAATTTAATAATTATATTTATACAATGAATTCTAATTTTTCTCGCATCTCCTCTATAGAAGATTATTCTTTGTAACTTTTAATGTTCTTGATATCTCTAAATTAACACACCTATATGCCCTCTGAAGATTAATATAAGTATTTTTAAAACATTTAGTGCTTTCCATGCTGCTGAACTTAATCCCGCAAATACTTCTCAAGTTTAATAATATTCAATAGTTTAGGAGAAAAATAACTTCTTAAAAATATGGAACATTTTTTTTTAATATTACTTTTTTACACAGAATTCCAGAACTAAATTGATAATATAAATTTATTAAAATATTTAAAAAAAATTTTTTGACAGATTTTGGTACTTTTTACATTGTTGGTACCCTAAAATTAATGCAAGGTACATGCAGGTATTATCTGAATCAATTTGTACCAAAAAAATAAATCTTTAAGAACTGATTTCTGTGAGTTTAAGGTATCTATTAAAATATTTGTTGTTTATTTTTATCTCAATCCCCTTTAAAATTACCAAAATATTGAAAATAATCTTTTTCCAGATTATATTGCTTACAAAAAATAAATTATAATATGCTGCCGAATGTTTTCTAACTTTTATTATATCCTTAGTGTTTATTTTATTCAGTAAGATTAAAATCTCCCATAATGTTTAAAGTACCAATGAAAACATTATATTCCAAAATTGGTTGGAGACATAAACAAAATAATAAAAAGGTTATGTTTCTTTTCGTTCTTCATGAAATGTGCTGAATTTAAAATTATAACTTTGAAATTACTTATTCTGTCATTTCTCAGACCTATTGATGCTGTTTAAATCTATATTAGAAAAAGTCATAAAAAAAAAAAAATATTATTAAAAAACCATAAATTTCTGGCAAAATAGGAATTTTGTTTTTGTTTAAAATCTTAATGAAAAAAAAAATCTATTTTGGAATGCTTTAATGAAAAATATATATTTCGCAGAAAGGTTTCATTCATTAGAGCTGATTTGATAATAAAATTGCCCCGTGATACTATTATTTTGAGATTATTAAATTTCAAAAAATCATTTCACTTTTGTTTTGTTTTATCTTATTTAATAACATCCCCCCTCAATCCATTATTTATCGGTTATTAAATATCTAAATTTATATTTATTGGTGAGAAGCTCATTTCCTGTTTTTGAAAAAAAATGCTCCATATTTTGGTAAAGATGTAAACCAAGTAGTATTTAAAAGTTTTTTTTTAGTAAACTTTAAGGCAAAGTGATCATATTAAATATATATATAAATAATTATCTTTAACTTCAATTTGTTTATTTATTTTCTCTCATTCCCCAATCACTTGTTTGCAGTGTTATGTGATAGATAGGGTTTAAGAAATGAGCTCCTCAAGACTACAATTTATTAAAAAATGTATATTTCAATAAATTTTACAATTAAATAACAAACTGTGGCACAAATATAGCACAAATTTCAAAATTTTGATCATAATCCAATGGTGTATCACTGTTTCAATACATTTTTCTTACTTACACTGATCTGATGGCCGGGGCCTTGGTTTTGTGTCAATGCCATATTTTCCTGGTGGCAAATATGTTTCACCTGGTCTATTGCCATAACCATAGCCCTGTCCATGTACGTTTACAGCCCCTTGAGGAGGTTGATATCCATCATACCGAGAGGGCGGGTAATATCCATCATATTTCTTAGGTGGTAAGTAACCATCTGGTTTCCTTGACGGTGGGTATGCTCCATCATATTTTGGTGGATAGTGTTTATGGGGAAAACTTTGGTCTGGATAGGATTGCTGTGGGGGCTGGGGCGGAATGTAGCCATGAGGCCTTTCTGGAGGCACATAGCCAATGCCAGGCCTTTGTGGTGGTAGGTAGCCTTGAGCAGGTTTCTGGTTGGGGTAGTAGCTTGGTGGTGTCTTCCCAGGAGGCAAATATGTGCTTGGAATCTCGTTTGCTGGCCCGTAGGGTTCACCAGCTGGTGGTTGAGGCCTTCCAGGTGCACCTAGAATGAAGGGAAATAGATTAAGGTATCGTAATATTTAGATATTCTATTTATTTCTATTAATAATATATACTGTTACTGATATTGGTATGGGAATCTTACACAGCAAGTAGCCTTTTGGTCCTTTTTGTCAAACCATGATGGCGTCCTTTAAATTTATGAGTTTGAGTCTTAGCACAATAAACTTATTTTCACATTATTGCTTATTTCAGATATAGCAAGATAGGTTTATTCTATATCTGTAGGGTATATTATATTATTTAATATGGCATAATTATTGAAAACAATAAAATAAATTATAAAGATTATTAATATAATTTTTAGATTTATTTCATTATGTGTTGCTGGAGTACCTTTTTGAAAAATGTATACATTGCCATAAATATTAATAAGTTAGATAGAATTTTAAATTTAGGAATAAAGTGGTGTCAAATTAAGCTGATATATTATAATTGATCATTCATTCATCAAAACTTTCCTTAAATTTCAAAGATTTAGAAGCAAATAGGTATTAAAATTGTTTATTTATACTTATTAAAATCAATAATCTACTGTAGAAGGTCATGTGTTTGCTATATGTTAGAAGATTATATGTTCGTAAATATTTCTGTCAGCGAGTCTTAATGTTTTTTATGTGGTGGTAATCAGTAGTACCAAGAAAATAATATTGTAACATAAAAGTGGAGTCAAAGGGACCGAAACATATGATACATATGTTTAAACACATTTTGTGAGAATTTAAATCGAAATTTCATTATAGAATCCAAGATTCTCCAACAAAGCTAATGACCCATTTCTCCAATCATTTTTTCGATAAAAAAATGCCACTCAATTCACATTTTTAAATAGATACTATTTAGATATTTGAAGGCATTCATAATAAATAAGAAAAACTAAAAAAAAAGTTTAAAAAAATGTTATTGTCAAAATTATGAAAATATTTTAATATTCAAAATGTGTAATTGTCTAAAGAAGTATTACGTTTTTTTAGCTTCTGGTTTAAATTATAGATAAGTGTTCAGATATGGTATTATAATTTTTTATATATATTATTAGTTCATAATCTTCATTAATTCCTGTTTCTTCCCCACTCCTTCCTCATAGATCTAATTTAATAAAATAAACACATGTAATTAATAAAGACATTTCAGAGATGCTTTGTCCTCCTCTTCAACATGTAATATTCCTCAGTATTGGAATAGTCTGATGATTTGGACCTATAGTCTGGCTAATGATTGAGTAAAAAACTTAAAATGTAATATAAATTAAGAGTTTTTATTTTATTAATCTTAGGTCTAATAAGTAATAAATAAAATATAAAAGGCATTTCAAAATTCTAAGTTAATAGTCAATATTGTAAATTAAAACTCGGGTAAATCTATATAAACTTTATTATACTCATTTTTAAACTGATGTAAAAAAAAAAATTACCAAATATATTAAGTCTGGACTATTTATAAATTTTATCTTTCTCTCAGTCCAGCTATTATTTTAGTGTAACATTAAATATTTGACCAAGAATGGATTTAAACTCTAAAAAATATATCTAAAAAAATATATATGTTTTATTATCACTTAAAATACTTTACCAATTGTAATAGGTGGTAGTTGACCCCTATCCGGGTACCTGCTGATTTCGCAACCGTGACCATAGCTGCCTCGATGATATAGTTCACATTCTGGATCGATGCTTAAGTGAGTTTGGCCATTCATTTCTGGAATTGGTAGGTCAGTTAGGAGGCAGTTGTCATCACTCTCACCAATTACTGGAGGGCCATATCTGTTTTAAGTCAGAAAGTAAACATTTATTAATTTTAACATACATATATATATATATATATATATATTGTCAACACCATGTTTAAGTAACGAATGTGCAACGTTGGGCAGGCTAACATTCGTTACTTTAACATGGTGCTGACGATATGCTTTGTTCCTCACTTCTTTAATCTTAAATAATTCATTAATTGTTTTATTTCTCCTTATTCAGATGATATTACAGAAATATTTAAGCCACAGATAAATGTTTAATAAAATTATTGGTCCATAGAATTTATTTAATGAAAAGCAATATATGTGGTTAAAAATGTATTGTTTGTTTAGAATAATAAAAATACTAATACTAAAACATTTAAGCCATTAATGATATGATGAAAATATGTTTTGCAGTATTCTTTATGATAAAAAAGAAATAGTTTATGATAGAAGAGGTTTAAAACTGGCCAAAACCCATCCTTCAAAGAACAATTAGGATTAATTGAGTAATAAGATGACACTTTTATATTTAACAATGTATCATTGTTTTAATAATTCTGAAATTTTTTGATTTTTAGAAGTGTTTTCCAAGCTATTACCTCCACAAATCAACAAAATATAACACCATTTACAGTTCTATATATCATATACTTTGTAATTTGAAATATTTTAATTATAAGTGCGCAGGTTCAGAATCAGTGTCTTTATGATGAAATTAAAACTATAATAATAATAATAATTCTTTTTATAGGGCTTTTGCCTTTTCTTCATGACCGTAATTTTTTTAATTTATTAAAATAATAATAAAAATAAATGGGGAATGTGGTTGCTCAGTTAGGTCTTGGTTTTGAATGCGGCTGATGACAGATAAATTATTTATTCTGTTTCATCGGCTGTGGTTCCACCCTGAGAGGGTCGGTAGACCTTCCTGGGGCATACCCAGCACTTCTATAAAGTGGGTTATTGTAATTAATTATTTAACAGGGAACTCCTGGCGGTTGAGCGTGATCTTGATCAAATCACCTCCTTGCACAGCCATTGACCAAGAAATAATACTTCCCAACAAAGTAATGAACCCAAGACCCTTCATAGGATTTAAAAAAAAAATAAATAATAGGAAAGGATATTTTATAGGAATATCTCATAGATATTTCATATCTAAATAGGAAGGAAACACTTATCCATAATGACTGTAAAAAATAGACATGGAATGTTAGGGGTATTCTAGAAGATAAAAAAAATATTGAAGAGTCAAGGTGACTAATGAAATTGACAATTATTTCAATAAATTAAAAAAATAAAATAAAGGATCACGTAGATGGGCAAAAAGTTTGAAACTTGGACCTATAAGCGAAGAAGAGATGAAGAAAATGTTTAATCCTTATGAATAAATAAAAAAATATATATTACATTAAATTAAATATATACCCTTGGAAAAATAAATTTGAATTGTTTAAAAAGTAATAATGAACATTTGAAGTACCTATAGCTAAAGGCCCGGCAAGTAAAATAAGGTACGTAGAGGCAAGCTGTCTCACATTCACTGAGACTGGCAACTTTCATTGCATACTTAACCATCGCTCCTTTCAGTTTGAGTCCGCTGCGCACTCTTTCAAAACATTCTGTAAAGAAATTACTAAGATAAGTATGAATCTGAATCAAATTAATTTGCAATTATAAATACAAAATAATCACTACTCTTTTTGTAACACTTAAAGGCAAAATTCATGATTATATTAAGAGTTGGATATATTCTTTTGACCAATATTAAACCCAAAATTTAAAAAATTAAGTATTGATCAAAAAAAGTATTCTTACTAAAGATAAAAAATAATAGGTATCATTGAAGATGACCATAAAGATACATCTTGGTATTTTATTTGATTTAAATATTTCCCATCATTTTATGTTCACTTAAATTTTAATTTTTTTTTAATGGAACACAAAAAATGTCTTTATGGAGGAATTCTGAAGCTCTAACATTTTATCAAAAAAGTAATAGAAAATAACCTTTCAATACAAGCTGTAAATTGAAAATAAAAATTGTGTGAGTGATTCTGTTGTTTACATTAAGATCTTTAAAGAGCCTTGATCTGTTAAGTTATCCAGCACAGTAGTATCCAAACATTTTAACCTAAAGCATGTTAAAATGATCCCAAAATTTATTTTATAGACAATATTATTAAAATGTAACAATTTTGGAGGAAACGTTATTAGCATAGTTTTAAATAAAACTGATATGATTATATTTAAAGATTGGTGTAAATTAAACCAAATTTTTCTATCAATAGGTGTTGACATTTCTGTTGGGTGGTTTTATGTTTTTGATGGGAAACATCCATGTCATGGGTGGGGGAACGTGGTCTCAGAGGCCACATGTGGCCTCTGTGACATAATTGCTACCTCTTGGTCATAGGCGCCCTCCAAACGTTTTTACATAATAGTTATTAATCTTGTGCTGGATTTACTAAATATTTAATTATCTAAGTAACAACAATTTGGAAATTAATAGAATTAAGCTTAATGTATGTATGTGGGTATGTGTATTTAGTGATAAATTAAAATAGCAAAGGTAAATTATAAAGAATTATTGCTGTCCATTCGCTCTGCCTTACCTTACTGCGGCCTTTAATGTTAAAGTTAAACAGCTTCCCGACCTTAATCTACATAATTAGACCCTGTTTCATAAAATAAAATTACTACAACCACTTTATATAACACTCTATTTCAATCAATAAAATATTTGCCTAATTATTTATCTAATTGCGTTTACATATGAGAGATAGAAAATAAATAAATAATATAATAAAAAATGTCATACTAAAACAACAATAAACAAAATTGAATAAATGGAATTATTATTACATCTCTTTCTTTAAATTTTCACGATTAAGAAAAGATAGTACTTTATCGGATCTAATATTTTAGTTTCCCATGGCTATTGAAATATTTTACAAAATAACTTTTTTTTTTAATTAATGACTGTAGAGCGGGTATTGTTGAAAGAAATGGATTGAGGGTGCTATTGAAGTCAAGGTACTACTGTAATTTTGGCATCCTGGTTGTACTTTAAGTAATAAGTACTATCTTGAATGTCTAATCCTAACACGGGTAAGGACCACTTTCTTTTTACTAATGCTGTGACTAGAGGAGCTTCAAAGTTTTGCATCTCTTTTCTCAAATTTGAGTTTCTTTGGAATACTTTCATTCCATATGTCCTGCCATTCCTTGAGGGCATTCTTTTTAATTGGTCGTGAGAGAGCTGAAAATGTAAGAAGCGCCTTTGAGAGAGAGTTCCTCTTTTGCTGCATTATCAGCTATTTCATATCCCATAATACCGACATGTCCATTTAACTGTATGTAATCAAACAATTTTTCATCATGTCTGATGGATTTTTCGCTTTTTTCAGAACTTATTGGATTACATGTTTGTTAATGCCTTTAATGGACTCAACGATTCACTACATTTCTGATAGACAATACTGAGCAATAATCTAGTGTCATTGCAATGGTATTAACCTCTGCAGTATAAAAAATTGATTTATGAAATCTGATACTATTGTTCTTTATTGAAATTAGACATTTGCAGATGTATTTGGGATTTTACACAGATCCAGGAATGTGAATAGTTTTTATTGGATTTATGTTAATTAATTTTAATTGTTAACTACTTTTACTTTAACTTTTTTTAGAGAAAATTTAGGAAAAATATGTGTAACATGTTAATAACTCGTAATATTAGTGAAGTTATGTTTGGTGTAAATCCATCTAAGGGTCCCAATCTAGCCAGTTTATCCTACCACTAGTTTTAATTAAACCAATATATAGTTAAAATATTGGGGATCATTATTTATGTAAGTTTTTAGTTTCTAAATTGGTTGTTAAATATAATCAATAAACTACCATATTCCTATTTGAAATATAACTGATTAGTCACTAGCAACCCATCTCTATACTATACAGTTACACTGGGGGATCCAGGAATTAATTTTTGGGGAGGGCTTCAGCCCGAAATCTTTTTTTTTCCATAAAAAAACGATAATTACTTTGGAAAAAAAGAAAGAAACTAACTACCTATATGAAATGGTGTTTAAATGATTCCTAAAGTACTTTTAAATGTAATTACACGAGCAATAATACTTTAAGAGATAATTTTTTAATATTTTTTTTCCATAAAACATGCTTTTATGTTACTTTTTTGGGGAAGCTTCAGCCCCAAAGCCTCCCCCTGTAGATCCGCCCGTGTACAGTTATAAACGTGGGATACCTTATATCTATTAAGTTGATCCACATGAAAAGAAAATTGTATTATATATAGTATAGTCCAGATAACTGCAAGAGTCAAAAGCTGACCCAGATGCATAGCAGACGACTTCCTCACCAACCAAGGCCCCAATTGGCCAATTAGCATGAGATGTGTAGCGATAGGGACGTTCTGTTTGCAAATTCTACAGATGGAATCTGGGAACAGCCTTGGCCATCCACCTCGTCCATTGTTCCCCACAACAGTTAACTTCAACGGGAATCTGCCCTTATCATGTAGGAAAATTTATTTCTTCAAGAGATTCTGATATATTATGCTTAGGAATTTCAGGTTCAAAGGCGAATGTATCTCAACTTCCTCATATGCATATCAAGATGCTCATTTATTAAAGTAATTCTTATGAATATTTTTTATACTTTATAGATATTAAAAGCTCAGAATACAGGAAATGCTTTATAACAAAATAAATCTGTATTAATAAGTATGAAAATCTCTTTGCGAACTACAATTTGCCATGGTTTTTTTTTTAGTTAAGTTCCTGTAGTCAGATGGGATGCGATCTTTAAAGGTTTGCATTAGAAATCAATTTGCTCCACATTTCATGGCTGCAATAACAAACAAATAAAACAATTAGAGAAAATTATGTATACTTTATAGTATTATTTTCCTTTCCTACCATTGTATTTCGACGATATGTGATTTAAATTTTATTGTATAAATCAATAACATTTTTTTCTTACATTTTAGTTATCAGATGCGAAGATTAATAAATGACCCTTATTTTTTTTTTTTATATTGTTGGCTATTTCATTCATTATTGGCACAACAGACGCAGTAGCGGTACTTGGCCTGCTCAATTTCCTTTGCCCAATCATCCCTGTTGGCTCATCAGGTGACCTGATGGGTATGCCATTTTTTCTTAAGTCTTCTTTCACGTTGTCTATCCATCTTGCCCTCGGTCTTCTCCTAGACCTAACTCCCTCTGGCTTCTCATGCTAAGCCTTCTCGCTGTCCTCACTTCATCCATTCTGAGGACATGTCCTAACCATTTCATTCGTTGCACTCGAGCGAATTGGGAGATGGACAGATCACTGTACATTGAGTATACCTCCTTGTTTGTTCTCTAGCGGGGAATTCCTTCCTCCAGTTTTGGTCCTATTATCCGTTATAGTATTTTTCTTTCCAACCGATCTATTAAAAAATAAATAACTTCTCCTATCAGCACACGTACCTTAAAGGAATATTTAAAAAAAAATATTTTTTTATCTTTTTAAGGAAAATTATTATTATTAGGAATTCGTTACACGAAAACACTTATGCAGTGTCTTGAAATACGACATTAAAGCATCTAAGAAATAATATATTGTGCTGTTACAATATATTAAGATTGTATAATCTTAAGAACAATTAAATTTTATATAACAACCTTACTAGCATGAAACTTCTGAATGAATGTTTCAATAAAACTGTACTTGTTGATTTATATTTTTACTTATAACAATCAAGCTACATTAATTCGCTGCAACATTTTAAAATTAGAGATATGATCATTTTATTTATTTTTTCATGTATATTTAGATCAGCAGATTCAGTCGAGATTTGAGACTTGGAACCTATTTATGGCGTTTCAAATTATCATAGTTGTGTATACAGTTTAAGATATTTACCAGAGCCCCAGTATTTCTTAGGCTGGCAGTTGGGCTTGCTGCTGGGGTTCCTCTCGTAGAGATCGTAATCCCTGTCTGGGAGGATGTCATTGTAGATGTCAACCTGAGATGGAGAACGGCTTCCGAGTTGACAATTGTGGCCGGGAACTGTTGGGCTCAATGAGTACCTGCCACGCATTTAAAAAAAACTGTTAATGATAATGAATTAATAAAAAAAACATAGCCATACTTGTGTTCGTCCAGCAATGCTCTAATATGATGAAAACCATTCTGATTTCTTAGACCACGAAAAGGAAAAATTGATACCTGTAGCTGAAAATGTTGCACTGGAACTTCTTCTCGTTGACACACTCAGTTTCGCAGTCGTATACGGAAGGAACCGTCAGAGCGACAAGGACGACGCCCCTGGCCAGCTTGAACCCGATCCGAGACCGCAGGAAGCATTCTATGGAACATAACACATATTAGTACATGCTAACCACCAGAGGGCCGCTGTGCAAGAGGAAGGCAGACCAAACAGCGTTTGGCCTACCTTATTGGCTCTTGTGTGCATACCATCTGGCAAGCCCCCTCCGCTACCAAGCTCGTAAGCACCTCCACCATACTGATAACCGTTGTCTTGAGGCGGCTCTAATGCGTTGTCGTTGGGGTACCGATGTGGTGGTGGCGGTCGACCGTATCCACCTTCAGGCCGGCCTCCGTCAGGATAACCTCCTGGTCTGTAGCCACCCGGGTACAATCCGCCAGGTCGACCGCCACCTGGTCTGCCTCCTCCCGGATACCCATCGCCAGGCCGATCGTCGGGATAACCTCCCCCAGGTCGACCATCTGGATATCCACCATCAGGGCGACCACTTGGATATCCACCACCATCCGGATATCCTCCTCCTGGTCGACCTCCTGTATAGCCAGGACCTGGTCGACCTCCTGAATAGCCAGGACCTGGTCGACCTCCTGTATAACCTGGACCAGGTCTTCCTCCTGAGTAGCTTGGACCAGGTCTTCCTCCTGTGTAGCCCGGACCAGGTAGACCGGGATATCCACCACCTGGACGTCCACCGTAGTCATATCCACCATAGGGGCCTCCTCCATAAGGACCTGGGCGGTAGAAGCAACGACTAGGACCGCTGTAGTCCCTTTCGTAGTAGTCATAACTTGGATCAGGATTAAAATCCGAAGTGACGTCTAGCTTGGAACTTTTTGTATCTGTCAACTGACAGCGATTTTCTTTTCCATCTCGATCGAACCTAAACAAATAAATAAGAATTAGAAAAAAAATGTGTGACAAATTCGAATATCATTATTGCGAAATATTTGAAATTTAATAGAATTTTATAATGTTTTATTCTTTAACTTGTAATTCTGTAACCTATTGAAATAGAAAGGGAATGAAGCAGAACGTAATCCTAAATTCAGGGGTTTCCAGCAGAGAGTTTCGTGGCGCAAGTTGCGCCATACAATTGTTTGAGGGGGAGGGCATTTTGATTGAGTTTTGAAATTTTTAGGAGGCACATTTGCACTGGATTACGAATTTCGAAACGAAAAGTTTCAAACCAAGGGACAAGGCGGAAACATGGAATAAACCGCATCAAGTGTAATTGTGTATGATCTATGAGTTTTTAATTTATACTTTCACTTGCATTGTTTTTAATAAGAGTAGAGCAAATATCTTGAGAGGAGGGAAGTGGTGGAGAGGGGAGGTTCATACGCCTTCGACCTTGGAGGAGGGAGGGGAGAGGGGTGGGCACCCCACGAGATCACCACCACAAAAATGAAGAATTAGGAGATAACTTGAGTACATAACTATCCATCGCTCAGACGAATGATTTTTAAAATAAATCTTTAAAAATGCAAAAAAAACATTCTTCCGGTACTAACCCAACTATTAATTTTTGCTTGTAAATTGAAAAATCGAGATAATCTACAGGAAAAATAAACGAATGGGGCGCAAAATTACATTGAAGAAGTGGACATTGGTCATCATCTTGTTGAAATAAAGAAACTATTTGGTTTAGAAAGAGCTAACGATAAAAACTAAGTTTGTTAAATCAGTATTTTTTCCCTTTTATCACGAACAGCTGAGCATTGGTATAAACTCGGTATACATACTTGAGCAGAATCACTGCTCCGGAAATGAGATTCCGAAGGGAGATAACGAGAAAAACAAGAAGAGTTTTCAACTGAAACGAAGCAAAGTACAGATGAATATTCACTCTCATGGATACGATCCACTGAGGTGGCTGGCATGTACCTTATAATATGGGTTATATGCCAGATGAAATTAAAGCAGATGGCCATCTTTTTTATAGTACCTTATTCTATTAAAAAATATGGCCAATGAATTTAAAAAGATTCAGCACGTTGAATGAAGCAATCAATATCTACACTACCATAAAATATGAAGTTAGCCTATATTAATTAAGTAAATCACAGGGAGCCTCCTTACGCTTTGTAAATCGGAACGAAGTAAAAACCATACATACTATAATTAAATTTATGGCAAAATTACAAAAATTATTATTAATAACAATAATCAGAGCAATTCGAGTAATGATTCAAGATTGAAAAGGCACGTGTGCTATTTGCCGCGTGTGCTTGCGCAGCAATTTTCTGGGTTGGTGATGCAGTTGCCAGACCGTAAACAGTCCCCTTGAGTCTTGCTATCATTATTATCTCATGTATTGTTTAAGGAAAATTTGAACAATTATGGCTGCCATTCTACAATTCTAAATCGGATAATACATAAAATATTGATAACATCCCGATCACCAACGAAATGACAGTGTGTATAAATAATGAATTGGCTACTTACTTGAAGTTGAAACCTTCGCATTGGAAATTAGTTTCCGTTTCACAGGCGTCTTCGCAAGACCGCAAAGAGTCGCAGAGAAGCGCCCTCTTCACGTATCTCTCAATGAGGCTCCTCCCAACCACCATCCTCTTGAAGCACGCTACAGCAGAAAAAAATAATATACTGAATAACAAATTGGAAATGTTACTATTTCCTTAAATAATGAATAACTTGCATACTCCAGTGAGAACTCTCACGTTAGATAGCTAATCATCTCCCTAGACGTATAAGCGACTTCAGGGAAACATGGTTATTTTACTAACAAGATAGTCTCTGCAAAACACAAAATTGAAAATAATAATTGACATCACACGTTCGCAAACTAGCAATAAATTATCTCAAGCGCCAACTAAGAGTTAATTCGTACAATGTTCTTGTATTATATCACATACGATCAAACTCATAGTATTTTCATTTTCTTTGGAGGTATCTTTGGGGATGGAACCGTTTTTGAAATTGTTAATACGCATCAACTGTTAATACGTGATTAGCTAATCCCATTGGAAACTATCCTTTAATAGTTTAATATTTAGTTAATAATAATAATAATATTTAGTTTAATAATTATAGAATAAGAGCTATCTCTGAACTAATCCATTATTATACTCACTTAAGGCCTGTTTACTGTATTCACAGATATTGGTATATTTCCCAGATACCTCTGAGACCTCAAAACTATTGTTCTTCGACTACCTTTTCATTCGATTTTTAATTTGTCGTAGACTATAATAAATAGCGATATTTTAAGTTTGAAAAACGTATATACGTATTCTATGGCAACCTTGGCACTCAGGCTTTCGGAATGAGCTACATTGTATCTCGAAAAAGGTAAATCTTCCGGCTTTAAAACGCAGAGAATAGATGAACGCGTCGAAACCTTTAAAATAGTTTGTTCCATCTCGATTCATAACTTACCATCAAATTATGTTTTTTTTTGATACCTCATTTATTTAAATACATCACTGTTAAGAGACAAAAGAGATCAATTGTATAAATGTACATTATGCAGATAAACTTATAAAATCATGAAAATATATGGATGGATAATTTGATTAATCGAGTAAATGCTAGAACAATAGATCCTTGTCCCAAAACAGCTCTTCTATGGGTAAATATCCATTCTTATAGACAACGTTATATTTATATGAGAAGAAGGGTACGAGTCGGTAAACCATTTCTAAGTTTTTTAAGTAGTTAAAAATCCCTCATTTTCTATTCAAGTTCCCTCTCCATACAGGGTCTCTCAGTTCTTAAATGGCAAAATCTGGGAGGAGGATGGAGGGAGAAGGGAGTTATTCTAGATAAAAATTTCAACAAAAAAGTTTCTTTTAATGCACGGACCGATTCCGAACGGAAAACGATTTAAGAACAATGTTGTGTTTTTCTTGAATAGAAGGAATTACTCAAAAACTGTTCAAGATTCTAAGTAAACCATCTTAAAGTAGATAAAATTTTCAACGAGAAAATATTGATTAAATTAACTAAGATCAATGATAAAAGGAACTTTAAGGAGCCTTACCATTATACCGAATTGTTTCATGAATCGGGAAAACAGAGAAATGCTGCTCGGGTTTGAGTTCTGTGATTGCAGCATTACAGCGGCTGTATTAGATCTCAAAGTTCCTTCTATCATCGATCTTATTAAATCTAATCACTGTATTCTAAAAAAAAAATGTTTTTATTGTACTATGTTGTCCATAAAATTTGATTATCTTTAAACTTTTGAGCAATTTCTTCTTATTCAATAAAAACCGAGACTACCTTAAGAAAAACACTTTCTTGGTTTTCCTTTGGTTTTTTCGTTCGTTAAATCGTTTTCAGTTCGGAATTTTCCCAAGCATCAAATAAACTTTATTGTTGGAAATTTTGTCTAGAATCACCTCCTCTGAGTTTGACCATTAAGAACAGAGAAGAACCCGTGTGTTATATTTTCATTGAGAAGATTTTTAACAAATGTTCTTTAACCATACCGAGATGGCCAGGATTCACCGTTTATCGTTCTTTTGTATTTTATTAAATCATTACAATCGGGCTTAACGAACACTGAGGATTAACGTCAACACCGACGGTCTTCGCCTAGTTAAATCTTTTCACTAAACCCCGACAAAATCAAAACCTCCCAACAATCCTAAAATCGCAACCTATTTCGTTAATTTTTGTCACGGTTTACCTTTCGGTATGTATCTCTGAGTAGCTGTATCTGATTGTCTCCTGAATAAATGAAGCAATAAAAGAAGAAACTAACAAACAAGACCGTAAGGTTGCATACATTTCCAGTTCCGTCACCGAGGCCAAGGTTTTCGTAATTACATGTTGTCATTTGAAGTCGTATCCTGGAACGGAACCGGTAGTCCCATTTACCCAAACAGGCCATGAATGAAAATAATGAAGAAATACTAGTCTGTGGGCCAGACCCCCTTACCGTGCACCCCCCCCCCCCCACCCACATCCCTATAAATTGCATATCGTTGTGTTCCTTGTAACAATTTATTAAAAAAAAGCCAATGTTCCCACAAAAAAAAGTGAACGCACTGCCCCAAAATGGCGTCCAAAGATGGCGGATTGACGACTTTGACTTTAGTTAGTTTTTTGGTCACTGAGAATCAGCATTTGGCTTAATTTCCTCATAGTTGGTATTTTATTAAAGCTGAATAGTCATAGAATAATAAAACATGAAGAAATATAAAAAAATAATTGGCATAGGCTATGAAAAACACCAGTGAAATCAACTTTTTTAACAAAAAAATTTTCAAGTTTCAAATCAAGCGTCGTTTGTAATTAAACAGTCTACAATAACGCAAAACGTGCTGAAATAAACCATCTGGAGAATATAATTTCTCTTTCTAAAACGCTGATTACTTTTTAAAATATTTGAAGCAGTTCCGTAGAAAATACACTTATGCGGCAGAAAAGCGGTACTGGCGTGGGTGCCTACAGGCCTCTACAACACCATTCAGTGCCCATAAATGGCTTAGTTACAGTGATATAATAACATTTTTGGTACATTATATTGGTTTTATTAACGAACAAATATTAATGCAATAATTTAACTGTAAAAAAAAAAATTAAAATTAAAAAAAAAATTATTATTATTTTTTTTAAATTTAACCTCCTTTATTCTATACGTAGGTCGTTTAAGAATACCTCAATTGTAAAAATGATATAATTATAATAATAAAACTTAATTAAAAAATACTTTGCTAAATATCTTGATTTTTTTTTATTTAACGTTATGCAATTTAACACTGTGTTTTGTATATTTACTAAATCTTAGAGGTAATTAAAATTTTTATATACTTCCCAGGAAATGAGCCATATTAATACCTGTTTTATAAACTAAAATAATATATACCTAATATGAACTATATATAATGAATAGCTGGCGGGTTGTTTAGTAAAACTCATATATCACTAATTAAAAAATTAATTTTTATTTCCTTTTATTTGGTGCGGAAGTTGGACTATATCATAAATAAATAGGAAATTTTATTATTGAATGAATTATTCTCTCTGTACAAAGAAAGATAGAAAGGGTGACGCTATAAGTTCTTCTATAAACCAGAACTGATTGTTTGTTTTTGGTCTTAAAATGAGGAAAAACGCGAAATTGAACCAGAAAATTGGAAAAATACATTAAGCGAACGAGAAAGGAAGTGCCAAAACCTCGGAAAAGATAAAAAGGACCAGTATCCATTATATAGCTAAATGAATCTATAGTAGACAGATGAACAGAATATTTCAAGATGCTGCTAAAAGGGGGTCAATTGCAGTTTGGATGATATTAAGTGGACGATGTAGGTTTATTATGGTGAAAACCACTTTATTTTCGATTGCTACTGAAGGTGCACACTGGGACTATCTACACTTTGAAGCAGGATATAGAGTTATATCGAGAAAGTTATCGCTCATAGCTCTCCTTCTGTTTGTGCATTTGCTAGAGATTTTTGAAGGAATCTTATATTAGTCATAGCTCGTTATTGTTCAGAAATTTCGGAATTTGTACCATATAAAAAAAATAGGAAATTTTAATATTTCAATGCATTATTCTCTCTGCACAAAGAAAGATGAAAAGGGCGAAACCCAACTGCTTCGCACAGTTTTGCGCGTACATAGGCAACAAGTATATTAGAAAATGATATGAAAGGACTGTGTTTTTTACCTTTACAAGAAAGGAGATACTAGGAAATGTAATACCCACCAAGATCCATTCCTGTTTAGTGTTCCAAAGAAATTATACTCAACAATCGTAGAAGCTGGAATAAGAAATATTGTCGATTGCCAGAGCGATATGGATTGAGAAACTCAAGTTGCACATTGGAAAAGAAGTTCAAAATTGGGACTAGTCTCCACTTATAGAAAAGTCCATATAAAATGAAAAATAGCTCTCTATCTGCTTAGTGCCTCACACTTTGGATTATGCTAATATCTAATTATCTTTCAGAAAAGCTCGTTTTCCTTTTAGATTCCTTAAAAAATCGTTTGCAAATCCACTAAACAGACTAAACTTTCTCGATATACCTATATCCTGCTTCAAAGTGTAGATAGTCTTAGTGTGCACCTTCAGTAGCAATCGAAAATAAAGTGGTTTTCACCATAATAAACCTACATCGTCCACTTAATATCATCCAAACTGCAATTGACCCCCTTTTAGCAGCATCTTGAAATATTCTGTTCATCTGTCTACTATAGATTCATTTAGCTATATAATGGATACTGGTCCTTTTTATCTTTTCCGAGGTTTTGGCACTTCCTTTCTCGTTCGCTTAATGTATTTTTCCAATTTTCTGGTTCAATTTCGCGTTTTTGGTGGATGAAGACAAATGTTTTTAAAAATTATTATTGGTACCACGTAGTTTTAATGCAGTAAGCTTTCTGTTGGCTGTTTTATAAGATTAATCAGATTGTTTTTATTCAATAATCAATTGATTCATGGATGTTTAAGATTTATAGATGCAACCTCAATTTGTGAAAATGTATCGATTGTATAATCTTTTATATATATTTTTTCGGCCGGATTTCATCTTATAAGTCTTTCCTTCACCTAGAGTACACAGCTATGGAACTCACGTGGCGCATCCTCTATGACGATGATGGTCGGCG